AATTTTTTGTATTTTTAGTAGAGACGGGGTTTCATCATGTTGGCCAGGCTGGTCTCAAACTCCTGACCTCAAGTGATCCACCTGCCTCAGCCTCCCAAAGTGCTGGGATTATGGGCGTGAGCCACCATGGCTGGCTCCCTCCATCCATTTTTAAACCCCCAACCCCAGGTCATTCAGTCGCTGCTGGCACAACCCTTGTATCAGGAAGCTCACTGCCTCTGGGAGCAGCCCATAGTTTGGAGGGAATTCTGATTGCAAAAATGTCCCTTGTCCATGAAGCTGGCATTTGCTGTCCTCAGTCACAGCTCTGTCTTCTAGGGACACACAGAATCAGGTAGCCCCTCCCTCAGAAAGTTCTAAGCAGATCCAAAGTTCCAAAGCCCATCCCCCCCACACACACTTCTGTCTTGTGGGGGTAAAACACCCAGATAAAACACCCTGGTTCTGATAATCTTCACAGCCCGTCTTACCTGAAAACACTGGTAGTCCTGTCTCTCTGGAACCTCAGAGGCTGAGGGGCCCCAGCCCCCGTGAGGAACGCCACTTTCCTCCACCTTGGCTTTCGCTTGTTGTTCTTTGGATCTTGTCCTTATTTTTAGCATCCACTTGCCACTGACTTTCTTTCCCCAAGCCCTGTCTCCCTCCCCTGAGGCCTTGTGGGGAAGATGCATGGATGGGACTAACAATGATTGAGCACCTACTGTGTACTTAACATAGTGTTCAGTGCTTTACTCAAATTTTCCAGTTTAGCCCCAGGAGGTAATTACTATTTTTATCCCCATGTTACGCTGGGAACTGAGGCTTGGCAAGCAAGGCTCTGGGTCCAGGAGAAGAGCTGACTCTTATCTCTGAGAAATCCCTCCAGGCCAGCTGGCTTCTTGACCCTGATTCTGTCATCTTCCTGGATTTGTGAAATGTGCACATTTAATTCCTCAAACATGTATCAGGTCCCCACATACTCCTGGGACTATGATAGGAACTGCAAAAACAACCCCAGGTGTCTCCAACCCCATCACTTTGCTGAGGAGACACTATGGGATTCTACTTGGGCTTTGAACTGGGTGATGGGTCTGGACAAGGCCTGGACAACACCCTTGCAGGTCACATGGGTTGGGCTGATCACATCCAGCCCTATCCAGCCCTATCTTGTCACCCAGGCTCACATCTTTCTCTGCCTTGTGCCCAAGGCATTTGAGAGACACCTGGCCGATGCTTTGCTGGGTCCAGATAGTGGCTCTGCCCAAGGCTACTCCATGGAGGAGGCAAATGGACCCCGGCCTCCAGGCAGATTTGAGATGGGGCAAGAACCACTCACTCATGAAGGGTGAGAGTGTGTCAACCCTCGAGGAAAGGTTAAGTTATTTGCCTTTTTGTATGTGTGTGCCAGAGACTCCTTTGACATCTGGTGATATTTATTGACCTCTTCTCAAAATAATGTTTCAAAATATGTAAAATAGATTAGGATTACAAAAGATTTTCATGAGCAGAGAAAGATGTTCACAACTTATGATTAAATGCATAAAATCAGGTTACAGAAGAGTTCATATAGTGTAAGTTTCCATTTATGAAAGGGAGAAGGAGTGAAAAAGGGAGGGAGGAAGAAAAAGAAGGAAAGGAGGGAAGAAGGGAGGAAGAAAGGAAAGAAGGGAGAAATAAATAAAACTATTCCTAGAAAGAATACTATCTTTATAGACATGGATGGCCCTATCATCCATCCCACTTTGAAAAGCATGACAGGGGCTGGGCATGGTGGCTCACTTGAGGTTAGGAGTTCGAGACCAGCCTGACCAACATGGTGAAACCCCATCTCTACTAAAAATACAAAAATTAGCCAGGTGTGATGGCAGGCGCGTGTAATCCCACCTACTCAGGAGGCTGAGCCAGGAGAATCGCTTAAACCCGGGAGGCAGAGGTTGCAGTGAACTGAGATTGGGTCACCGCACTCTAGCCTGGGCAACAAGAAGAAAACTCCATCTCAAAAAAAAGAAAAAGAAAAGAAAAGCATGACAGGTCAGTGGCTCCAGGTCATGGCCCCCTTTGGCTCCTGAACAGGTCAAGTCACAGCCAAAGTTCCTCATTCTTGTCACCGACTCCCCCTTGCCTAATAGCTGGGATTTCACTCTGGGCCAATCCCTAACACAGCCCCAGTGGTACTGCATGGCCATCGTCCATCACTGAATCTGCCTCCCCCATCAGACGGTGACTTTTTGCTCACTGCTTTTTCTGCCTCTGTCCTAACAGTCTAGCTAAACCAAGTCACTACTCACTTTTTAGGAGCTGTGGGAGTCGCTCCCCAGCTGGAAGGCCTGGAATAGCAGGGCAGCCTGGTTCTTTTAAAGTCATCACAGGCTGGGCATGGATTACAGGCCCACCCCCGTAATCCCAGCACTTTGGGAGGCTGAGGAATGTGGATCACCTGAGGTCAGGAGTTCGAGATCAACATGGCCAACATGGTAAAACCTCGTCTCTACTAAAAACGCAAAAATTAGCCGGGCATGGTGGCAGGTGCCTGTAATCCCAGCTACTCAGGAGGCTGAGGCAATAGAATCGCTTGAACCCAGGAGGTGGAGGTTGCAGTGAGCCAACATCGCACCATTGCACTCCGGCCTGGGCGATGAGAGCAAAACTCTGTCTCAAAATAAATAAAATAAAAGTAAATAAATAAAGTCATTGTAGCCCCTGTTGTCAGCCTCTACCCTGGCTTCTCTTTCTCAAGCGTGTGGCAGTCAGACCTCCTCTTCCCTGTCCCAGTCTCCAGAGCTACCGCTTCCACTTCCTGAGCTGAAGACTTGACTTGCTGTCAGGCATCACACCACCCCCACCTCCTGCAGTCCCTACCTCTGCCCACCAGGTTCTCCACCTGTGCTCAGCACCCCACAAGGACTTTGTTCCTGCAGAGACACTATCCTCTGGGCTCTGCTGTTTCTTTCTTGGCACCAGGTCATCCATCAGTATATAGGCCTGCTTTTCATTCTCCCAACTCACACCTGCCAGATATCTCTCCCCTTTCTCAGGAATGCTTCGGTAAGGAGTCATCCATATGTCCTGCCTCCACAACCTTCTTTCCCCTTCACTCCCCAAACTTCTGCAGTATGCGTCTGTCACTCCATGAACCCGGCTTGTTCAGGAATGTTCACTGGGCATGTGTTTATTAAGCTCTTGCTCTATCTACACTGTGCTGAGTTAGGCAGTGGGAAAAGGTGATCAAACCAGTCCCAAACTCAGGGCTCCTATGATAATGGATACATACACAAGTAAGTAAACAATGCAATTAGAGTATAGGAAAGTTCTATAAAGAAAGCAAACCATGGCCGGGTGCGGTGGCTCATGCCTGTAATCCCAGCACTTTGGGAGGCCGAGGTGGGCGGATCACCTGAGGTCAGGAGTTCAACATCAGCCTGGCCAACATGGTGAAAACCTGTCTCTACTAAAAATAATTCTTTAAAAAAAATAAAAATAAAAATTAGCTGGGCGTGGTGGTATGCGCCCGTAATCCCAGCTACTCGGGAGGCTGAGGCAGGAGAATCGCTTGAACCCAGGAGGCAGAGGTTGCAGTGAGCCGAGATCGCACCACTGCACTCCAGCCTGGGCGACAGAGTGAGACTCCGTCTAAAAAAAAAAAAAAAAGAAAAAAAAGAGAAAGAAGAGGAAAAGAAAAGAAAGCAAACCATGACAGGACACAGAATAACTGATGAGATGAGGCAGAGGTTCTCTATTTTAGATAGTGGAGTCCAGGGAGGCCTCTATAGGAAAGAGCACACCATCCAAAAAGGAGGGAGAAGAGCAGTCCAGGTGGCCAGGATAGCAAGTCCAAAGGTCCTGAGGCAGAATACACATCTGTGCGTGGCACAAAAGAAAGGCCATGGGTTTGGAGAGAAATAAATGAAAAAGAGCGGTTGTCAGGGTCAAGTGGGGTAAAGAATTGATCTTCAATGCAAGGGGATGTCCTTGCAGATTTAAGGAACAGGATCTGATTTGTATCTTAAAACAAGTCCCCAAGCCCCACTGCTGTGTGGAAAATGAACTATAGGGGGAAGAGGTGGAGAGGGCAACAGAGTTGTTAGAGGCAGTGCTTACTCAATTCTGATGTCCAACAGGCATCTCACATTTAATGCATCCAACAAAAATATCTGGCTCATCATTCCCCCTCAAAACAAAACAAAGCCCCTGCTCCCCACTCAATCTTCCATCTCTGTAAACAGCCCCACCATTCACCCAGTTGTCAAGCCAAAGACACAGGGGCTATCCTTGCCTCCTTCTTCTCCCTCATCTTCTGTGTCCCAAGTCCAGTCTACTCTTTCCTTGTCCACTCCTCTGCATTCCCACTGTCCTCCCTCAGGCCCTCTCTCCTTCCTCCCCTCTGCTCCTTCTCCACGAAAGAGGTGTGTTTTTGTTGTTGTTGTTGTTGTTGTCAGGTGTTTTTGTTGTTGTTGTTGTTTTGAGACAGAGTCGGGCCCTGAAGCCCAGGCTGGAGTGCAATGGCGCAATCTTGGTTCACTACAACCTCCACCTCCCAGATTCAAGCAATTCTCCTGCCTCAGCCTCCAGAGTAGCTGGGATTACAGGCGCGTGCCACCACGCCCGGCTAATTTTTTTTTTTTTTTTTGTATTTTTAGTAGAGATGGGGGTTTCACCATGTTGGCCAGGCTGGTCTCGAACTCCTGACCTCATGATCCGCCCATCTCGGCCTCCCAAAGTGCTGGAACTACAGGGGTGCTTTTAGGAACACAGATCGGCCAGGTGCAGTAGAAGGCGGAGGTTGCGGTGGGCCGAGATCGTGCCATTGAACTCTACCCTGGGTGGAAGAGCGAAACTCCGTCTCAAAAAAAAAAAAAAAATGAACACAGATCTCCTTGCCTAACATCGATCCCTGAAGGACTTCTTTCTCTTTCAGGATCTTGAATAAGACTTAAGAGCCAGGTCCTGGAGAAACAGAGAGGTGAAGAGGTAGCCTGAAGGGGGCGGAGGCAAGCTCGTAGCACTGCCTCCACGTCCGGCTTGGTTCTTCCGGGCCTCGGAACTTTTCTTCCCGGAGCGGAGGGAAGCCTTTCCAGTAGTACTTTCCGGCGTTATTGACCCTATTTCCCGTGCTGCACCGCAGCCCCTTTCTCTTCCGGTTCTAGGCGCTTCGGGAGCCGCGGCTAAAGGTAAGTGTTGGCCGCGCGGCATCCGATGCCATCCGCGACTTACGAGCGGCGGCGGGGCGCAGGCTGCGGAGAGGGCGGGTGACCGACTGTGTGTCTGTGGGGAGCGAAGGCTGCGGGGTGGGAATGGTGTTTCTAGGTCCTAAGAGGGGAATGGCAGGGAAAGCCACTTTATTGGGGAACGCAGCTTTCCGGGGGTAAGGAGTTGATTTCAGGGCATCATTACGTGGGGTTGGGAGTCGGGGACTGGCGTCGGGTCGTGCAGAGTAAGTCGAGACTGGTGGAGGCTGCACATCTTCTGTCTGCAGGCTCGTTTCTGGCTTCTGGTCTCACATTCCACCAGATGGGTCGGGCGGGGGCGGGGGGGGGCAGAGGTGGCCCAGCCTGGAGAGCCCCTAACCCTGATCTCCACTTTTGTCTTCTAGGTGCAGACATGGCCAAGTCCAAGAACCACACCACACACAACCAGTGTAAGTTTTTCGGGCCCTGTCTACATCCCAGACCTTGGCAAGGACTGGTTCAGGCAAACTGGGGCAGGGATGAAGGGGCACGTTTCCATTGTGGGCCTGAGGCTGATTGATTTCACCCAGTAATAACTTTAGGGTTATAGGTTTAGAGATCCACTTGAGATACACAGTGTTTTGCATTTAGTAGTAAGGGTTTCCCATATCTCAAGCGTAGCTGCTGTAAGAAGCATTGGTTCTCCCAGACTTGCCAGCTGTGATGTTGGGTGGTCTTTATCAGAGGAAAGTTCTTTGTTCGCTTAATTCCCTTTTTTCTCCCACAGCCCGAAAATGGCACAGAAATGGTATCAAGAAACCCCGATCACAAAGATACGAATCTCTTAAGGGGGTGAGTGCACTGAATCACGTGGAAGTGTCTTGTCTTGGTTCCAGGTGCACAGTCAAGACCTTTCATGTAGTTTTTCTCTTACTTTGGCTTCTGCCTGAGCAGAGCCTAACTGGCCTAGCCAAAGCCTGCAATTCCTTTTTCTACCCTACCAGACCCATAATAAAGCTTTCCTTGGTCTTCCCCAGCCTGAAGTGTAACCCTCTGGTCAGGGCGTAACCTGCTCCTGGCCATCTCCCTTGCTTGGCAGTGGCACTTAGGGTAAGGAGTGGCCTTGTCTGAGTGTGTTCAGGGCACATTCCCACACTGACCAGCCTTATGACCTCGATCTGACCCAGTGCTGTACTTGGGGTCAGCTTCTCTTCCTGTGTCAGGGAGTTCTAAGAATTAGCCAAGAAGGCTGGAGGGTCTAGGGGATGGCTGAGCGTGTCCCCAGTCTGTTCCTCCCCTTTTGCTCTCTGTTCTGTGGAGTAAATCACAAACTCTGGCCGGGCGTGGTGGCTCTCGCCTGTAATCCCAGTACTTTGGGAGGCTGAGATGGGTGGATCACGAGGTCAGGAGATTGAGACCATCCTGGCTAACACGGTGAAACCCTGTCTCTACTAAAAATAACCAAAAAATTAGCTGGGCGTGGTGGTGGACGCCTGTAGTCCCAGCTACTTGGGAGGCTGAGGCAGGAGAATTGCGTGAATCCGGGAGGCGGAGCTTGCAGTGAGCCGAGATCCTGCCACCACACTTCAGCCTGGGCGTCTGAGCAAGACTCCGTCTCAAAAAAAAAAAAAAAAATCACAAACTCTGTGCCTCGGTTTCCCAATATTCTGCCTCGGCTATAAGTCTTTTGGACCAGACTTGGTATTTAATTGACACCTTCTTCTAAAGATGGGAGCGGGGGTGTCCCTGAGGGGATGTCAGGAAGAAACTTGGTGGAACCCTTGCTGTAGGAAGTTGAAACCCCGCAACCTTGGCAGACAGGGCAGCAAAGCGGCTTGTAATTTTGTTCTTGAAGGAGGTCTGTACAGCATTACCCAGGTGGAGTATCGGCTCCCTGGGGTGGTGGTACCCTTTTTCTGGAAATAGTTTCAAGAGGTTGGGTATTTCCACATTTGAGGTTGACTTGATGCTGTCTTTAGAATACTGGGTACCCCTATGGAGAGAGGCATCAGTGAGAGACTTGGGGACCCACATGCTGCCACCTGTACCTTTCCTGCTTTTCAGGTGGACCCCAAGTTCCTGAGGAACATGCGCTTTGCCAAGAAGCACAACAAGAAGGGCCTAAAGAAGATGCAGGCCAACAATGCCAAGGCCATGAGTGCACGTGCCGAGGCTGTCAAGGCCCTCGTAAAGCCCAAGGAGGTTAAGCCCAAGATCCCAAAGGGTGTCAGCCGCAAGCTTGATCGACTTGCCTACATTGCCCACCCCAAGCTTGGGAAGCGTGCTCGTGCTCGCATTGCCAAGGGGCTCCGGCTGTGCCGGCCAAAGGCCAAGGCCAAGGCCAAGGCCAAGGATCAAACCAAGGCCCAGGCTGCAGCTCCAGCTTCAATTCCAGCTCAGGCTCCCAAAGGTGCCCAGGCCACTACAAAGGCTACAGAGTAGGTATCTCTGTCTGCCAATGTGAGGACAGAAGGACTGGTGCGACCCCCCACCCCCACCTCTGGGCTGCCATCTGCATGGGGCTGGGGTCCTCCTGTGCTATTTGTACAAATAAACCTGAGGCAGGATTTGTTAGCCTCTGTCTATGATCCTGGGACTGGGTTTGGTTCCTCCATCTGTTGGTGTGGGAGAAGACATGACTCTGTGGGTGGTGGGGGGTGGGTGGGAGTCAGGAGATGGGGCCGTGTAGTGCAAGAGGAGGACCTAATGAATGAGAAATGATTGAGGGCTTTTGGGAAGCTCGGGCACATTGCTTGCTGGACTGCGTAAGTTGCCGAGCAAAAGGAGTGAGACAGTCTCCTCTCATCCAGGCTGGACTGCAGTGACGCCATCTCACCTCACTGCAAGCTCCGCCGCCTCAGTTCACGCCATTCTCCTGCCTCAGCCTCCCAAGTGGTTCGGACTACAGGCACCTGCCACCACACCCAGCTAATTTTGTTTTTGTATTTTTAGTAGAGATGGGGTTTCACCGTGTTAGCCAGGATGGTCTCGATCTCCTGACCTCGTGATCCGCCCGCCTCAGCCTCCCAAAGTGCTGGGATTACAGGCATGAGCCACTGCATCTGGCCAGTGAAACCTATTTCTGCATTGCTAGTGGGACCTGGCATCCATCACAAGACTTCTGTATGGGTTCAATGTAAAGTAAGCCAGTCTAGGCCGGGTACGGTGGCTCATGCCTGTAAACGCAGCACTTTGGGAGGCCGAGGCGGGCAGATCCCCTGAGGACAAGAGATCGAAAACATCCTGCTCAACTTGGTGAAACCCTGTCTCTACTAAAAATACAAAAATTAGCCAGGCGTGGTAGCATGGACATGTAGTCCCAGCTACTTGGGAGGCTGAGGCAGGAGAATCCCTTGAACCCGGGAGGCAGATGTGAAACCCCATCTCTACTAAAAATACAAAAAGTAAGCTGGGTGTGGTGGCAGGGGCCTTAGTCCCAGCTACTTAGGAGGCTGAGGCAGAATGGCGTGAACCCAGGAGATGGAGCTTGCAGTGAGCCGAGGTCGCGCCACTGCACTCCAGCCTGGGTGACAGAACAAGACTCCGCCTCAAAAAAAAAAAAAAAAAAAAACCAGTCTAAGTCCTGGCTCCTTGTCAACTGTGAGCAGGAGTCATTGTTATTTCTATTAGTACTAAGCCTGCAGTCCGCAGCCAGACTCTGGACTTCTCTTCTGGCTACAACTAGAATCAAAAAATCCAACCACCCAAACCCACCCATCTCCCCTGCCCCATGCTCAGGGAAGTCAGAACAGGATAGAGCAGATCTGGCTAGATCAGGCTTTGCTCTTGGGGCCATAGTTTACTAGTTTACTCATGGTAAAGCCTGGGGTCCTAGCAAGGCTGACATGGAAACCCACTTCCTAGGTCTCTATACACACAGATCCAGGGTGCTGAGGCCCCTAAGATGAACGGACCTAGTTTACCAGGGCCCCTGCCCCTCTGTGGCCCCTGCTGCCAATACAACGGTGTACAGGTTTTGACAAGAGGCAGCAGTCACCGTTGGCCCTCTGCCTGCCCCTATTCTGGTCCTGTCTTAGGATCCCAGATGTACACCCAGGAAGATGGGAGTGGTTCCTGAGGTCCTTAGTATCCCCCTTCGATGGGAACGGAATCCCTGACAGGTCAGAACTAAGTATGGTGGCCACTGAAATAGGAACTGTGGCCCTTTCTTGCAAGCGTGCTCGTGCTCGCATTGCCAAGGGGCTCCGGCTGTGCCGGCCAAAGGGGGCATCATTACGTGGGGTTGGGAGTCGGGGACTGGCGTCGGGTCGTGCAGAGTAAGTCGAGACTGGTGGAGGCTGCACATCTTCTGTCTGCAGG